GTGTGTTTCCTGGGAAAAAGCGAAATAACCAAAATATTCGATGCAACTGAATATGAAAAGTGTTTCTAAAGTTGGATGACTCAACTACAGGGATGAACCTGCTGTTAATCGTATCACATGAATTTAGTTGCTATATTTTTGCTATAATTTGCTATTTTATTGCTGAAATTAATTTCTGTTCATGCTGCTGTTATAATTCTCCGTTAATCTTATTGATGGAATTTAGTTTCTGTTGATATTTCTGCAATAATTTGCTGTTTATCCTACTGCTGAAATTTAGTGTCTATTTACATTATTGCTATAATTTAGTTTCTTTTAATTATGGTACTGTAATTTAGTTTCTGTTAATATTATTGCTATAAATTTATTGCCCGTTAATCTAATTAGAGGAATTTAGTTTCTGTTAATATTGCTATAATTTGCTATCCTGTTAATCATAAAGTTTACAGTTTGGAACATTTCTTTTCCTTTACGGTTTTGAATCAGTTTACAATTAGTATGATTGGAAATCTGTGAATTCGAAACTATACAAGTTTGAAATCATTTGCAACAGAAATGATTACAAAACCGTAAAAATTACACTTAACCGGACATTGGAGGGCAGGAATTGAGTAGCGCAAGGAAACCTTGTGTGTGCAATTTTTTAGGTTATTATTGAAAAAACAATTAATTGTGAAAACAAAAACCGTTATTTTATATATTCCAATGCAACCAATATACACTGTTAAAATTTTCGTTCTAAAATTACGGTAAAATAACCGGCAGCAGTCTGTCCATCCTGTTGAACATAAAGTTTACAGTTAGGAACATTTCTTTTCCTTTACTGTTTTGAAACAGTTTACAATCGGTATTATTAAAAATCCGTGAAAACAAAACTATACAAGTTTGAAATCAATTACAACTGATTTCAAAACCGTAAAAATTAAATTCAACCGGCCATTGGAGGGCAGGAATTGAGTAGCGCAAGGAAACTCTTCGTGTGTTAAAAGAAAATGAAAGAAATATAGTAGCGCTGAAGCTGGGTTTCGAACCCCCAGTCATGAGATTGGCAAGTTCGGCTACAATATGTACCTAGCTGCAAGGAACTAAGTGGCTTCGTAAGGTGGCCGCAGTTGGCGTGGATAAAATTCTAGCTGTTTTAACCGTATTTGGTGAAAACAGTCAATAAACTATTTTTTTCACACTTAACAGTTTTAGAAACCATCTTTTTACGGTTATTTGACTACTTTAGTTGAACGTGGTAAAAGAACAATTAAATAAATTGTTTTTTAACCATTTTTTTCTGAGAAATTTCTTGCAGTGTTCAAACTTATCTTTCCATTTTCGTAAAATACGTAATACGCTTACAAAATCGGACAGCTGCAACAACATTCATTGTCAGGTACTCTCACATTCCTTGTGACTTTCGCTCTTTTGTGCAACTCTTATCTTTATAACTCTTAATTGCGCGATTGTCCATAGCCGTCATTGCGACTAATCAGTAGTCGGAAGAAAGGGATTGATTTTTTGAGACTATTAGCACGTCGACAGATTACGATTTCACTTTTCTTTTCACTCACTTGTCACCAATTAAGTTCAAGGAAGTGGACAATGGGAAAAGCTTGACAACAATCAAGTAATCCTAATGTATGCATCGCATGATAGATTGCTCATTATTTTCACGTATTTCTAATTTCCTTTTTCGTTAATATTGACGCATAAGAAAAAGTATCTTAGAAAATAATGAAAAGCTTTTAAAGGGCATTTAGTTCAAATACCACACATTTTCTAAGTACAGCCTTTACATGTAACTAAACTGTTTCCTAGTGTTAAATTTATCACTTAAATTTTATCTCGCTTTCAGTTTTTCTTTCAACTACAAGGGAGTCTTATCAAGGGGTTTATCTTTTTGCGATAAATATGTGTACCTTTACATTTCATTTCAAGTGCAAATTTTTATTTTACGCATAACTAAACTGCTCCCTAGTATAAAACTTATCACATCAAATTTATCTGGGTTTCAGTTTTTCACCATCTAAAAGGGAGTCTTATCCGGGAGTTTATCTTTTTGTAACAAACATGGATACCCAAGTGACCTTTACATGTCTTATTTTATTGTCAGACATGGTGTATAACACCGGTTGATTTCCCTACCTTGAGCATGAATTGTAATTATATTCAAGATTGGCATAATATAATCATAATCGATTCTGGGTCTCGGACCATTCAGTTGAAATCAATCCAATTAAAAAATTATGAAATATTTATATTCAATTTGATTTATGTAATTAATAAGTAATAAAACACTGAACATAAGTATCACATAATATAAACAAAAAATGTGCATAATATTTCTTATTTACGCATTCAAAATTTGTTTGAGAAAAATACAACTTTATTAAAAATCATAAGTGTTTTAGATATAATTGTATAGCTTTTCAATAAAGAAAACTCCGATGCTTTCTTCTCCAGTAAGCTGCAAATTTATGTGATCATTGCTTAGACATTTATAATCTTATGACAATGCTCTAATGTAAGCATTAATTTGGACCAAAGTAATACATAATATTGAGGACGAAATTTTTTGTTGAATTTTTTACAAATACTTGAACTTGCCTAAATTCGAGTGTGGGGATTTCAAATGTAAAATTAGTTTTACTCCTAAAACCCACTGATTTTTTTAATTAAATTTTTAGTCCAATTTTTTGTCGAAATTTACGAAACATCATTAGGATGAAAAGTGCATAGGAATCCCTGGCCAAAAATGTCATCGTACGCGGCTAGGGGCACTTCTTTATTATGACCTATTCAGAAAATGCTCACAAGAAACTGTTCATAATTGGAAACCTCCCCAAACGGCGTATGACGACATTTCCGGGAATGGGTTCCTACGCAATCTTAATCCTACCTCTTCTATAAGTTTGTTGCAACATTTACGCCACCCCCTGTTATATATAACGTTTTAAAACCTGTGCAGTTCCTCAAAAAATTGGACTGCAAATGCCATTTAAAAAAAACTGTAACTTGGGGAGAAAAATAAATTGCTGACTTAAAATTCAATGACTTGAAAATTTTCAAGATTCGTCAAAAAAACATGCAACAGAAAAGAAAAAAGACAATTGTTCCCAATGTTCAATTAATAACTATGTCATTCAGTTTTATTTGAACACAGATTTATATTCAAACATTAATTAAAATTTCTGATAATTTCAGTTGTGAAAGTTTCCACAACTTTAAACAACTTTTAAAATGGTTATTATTCATTCTCATGACATTTATTCAGCTTTACTTTAAAACACATTCGAGAAATTAAAAATTTTGATCATTTTAGTTGTGAAACTTAGCACTAAAGTGAAATAGTGACTGTTGTTCTCCATGAGGTTGCTAATTTTAAAAAATGTGTTGTTTGCATTTCATCATATTCTAGTAGTTGTATATTGAATGGTTTATTTCCCTCCTAATCTGGCACCCAGCCAGACACTGTGAACGGGAGCTTGAACATACTTACGTGCTTGGACGTTCAAGAAGTGTTATGCACACACCTGTATCAATAACACCAAGTTTTATGCATAACCTGACATTCTGGCGTGTCCTTCGCATTGGAAGCATGTTGTTTGGCGTGTAAGTAGGCTGGATATTCCGTAGGCATCGGCTCTATCAAGGCCATTGTCGGTTTGAAAAATATTTCTGCTTGAATTTTCGATAGTTTGTTTTCAAATCGAGATATGAAAATAATCCCACACGTGTTTAGTCTCGATCACTTTCACGCGATTGACAGTCGGTTTCGGAGACAAATACTTCGTTTTTCAAACAGAAAACACCTGTTACAATAAAGAGCTAGTTTTGACTTTGGGTTTTGATACCAAGGTGCTTAAAGAACCCTACACTGAAGAGATGTAATTAAATATTTCACTTGAATCACCTAATTAAATATTTCTAGATTTAAAGGCATTCTTTTTTAATGTTTTCCTTTTTTTTAATGTATAATTGTTCACTAAGCAGGGTAAAATTAGAAAATTTTGCTACTGGTCAGAGGCCGGTTATAGCATTTTTAAGAGTGGTCACTTTTTAAAACATATGGCCATTTTTTTTAAAAAATTTAAAACTTTAAATGATTAAAAAAGTTGTTGATATTACTAATGTAAAACATTACTTTTTATGTATTTCTCAAAATACTGTTAAGGTTCATCTCTAAAATGAAGAAAAATAAGAAGCAAGTATAAAAATTTATTTATATTTTTGCATTGCATAAACATTTATTTATATCTTTGTTAACCATGAATTATAAAAATTTTCAAAATTTATAAACCATGTAGATTTATAAACCAAAATTTATAAACCATGTATAAACCATGTAGATTTATAAACCAAAATTTATAAACCATGCATAAACCATGTAGTTTCTGATTAATTTAATTAATAGCAATGTCTAATGTTTCAAAATCAGATCACGTTATCAAATCGTGTTTTGACACGATTCATAATTATGACTCAAACCTTATATAGTACTTATTGGAATTTCGGTTAGCAGCGTCGAATGGACCCACGATGAAATTTAAACTGCACAATGCAATTATAATGTAACATACAATGAAAGCAATGAAAGATGTATTACATTTTACACAGTTACAAATTATTAAATTTTAAGTTGTGTCAGTATCGTTCAGAGTATGATCGAATTCAAATCACATTATAAAATCGTGTTGTGACATGATTGATAATCATGACTCAACTTTTTATTGAACCCACCATCTTATAATGAAATGCACAATGTAACGTACCATTTCATTTTACTTCTCTTACCATTTACAAATTAGTAAATTTTGAGTTATGTCGTAGTTGTTCTAAGTGTGATATGCTTATTTCTCAACTTATTTTATACTAAAAATTAGTAAATTTTGAGTTACATCATCGTTGTTCTAAGTGTGATATGCTTGTTTCTCAACTTATTTTATACTAAAAATTGTAAATTGTATTTTACAATGAGTTATATTTATGTTTCATTTTTTTTTCCTTTTTAGAGAAAAGGTTTGATGCGATCCAAGTCATCCGCTGCATCTAAAATACAAAGGGCATTACCGGGGAAGTCAAAAACCAACGGTGAAATGTAAGTAAATACCCAAACTATTAAGTAAAAATCGAACAAAAAACATATTGAAAAGGAAAACAGTTATATGATTTAACATCCTAAATATTAATGATTTCACAAACTTTTTAAAATTTTTTGTTGTTATCCTTCCGCTCTTTTATCGTTCGGCAGGATAAAAACAACCCCACTTATTTTTGACAATAATCTAAACCATTAAAATAATAAAAGTTTTTATCTCTAAAACTACTCTGTTTTTTTTTTTTTATCCACTTCTTTAAATTTCGAAAAACATAAAGATAAAAACAGAATGTTTCATTTTAGGCGTGAATGCAACGACCAAATCAAACTGCCAAATCTCTGAAGGCAACTGCTTATAATTTTATAAATTTCTGAACTTCCTGTAAAGCAATAATTAAGTTCACCTATAATATAGAATTTTAAATGCTTTTTACCTTCGAACAAAATTATTTTAAAAAAACTGATTACCTCAAAATAGCGTAACAATCTGATAAATTTCAAACATCGAAATTAGGTTCATTTTTGAAAATTGCCGTTAATTTTTTCAGGAAAATATTAAATATTAATGAAGTCAACCAATAAAAAAGAATTTTAATTGCTTATTACTTTTGAAAAAAGTTATTAAAAAAATTATTACCTCAAAATAGTCAACGTGACAATCTGATAAATTTCAACTATTAAAGTTAGGTTAATTTTTGCCAATTGCCGTTAATTTTTTTAAGAAAAAATTTCCTGGTACGGAAAAGAAAAATTGCTTGATCGTTTTATAGACCCTATTAATAGGTTCCAAGCAAGCATGCCTTCACGCTTTTCGTCCGCTAATTAAATGATCGACATTGCTATCAACTATATTGTTAACAGATTTTTGATGTCATCGTTTGAATGGGGAAAAGAATAAGGGGGAAAGTGTTGTAGGAAAGGGAAAATTAAATTTTCTTCGAATAACAGTGGAAAAAAAACTGGAGCGTTCAAGATTTGCTTGAATAACTTTCACTCTCGTAACATACATATCCCGGCATTATTTTTAAGGAAAAATGTGGCCCTGTTTTTTTGCACTATATAAAAGAACCAACCATACGTATCTGACGTTGCTTTTTTGTCTCTTCGCTTTGTACCTCCACGCGAATCTGAAATTCAATTGAAGAAAGTGACTATGGCGATATCCTGTTGGTCACAGTTTCATGAATGAGTGAAAATTTCATTCCAGAAGAATTATTTACGCCTATTCTTGAAAAGGAAGCTTTTAATTTAGTATTGTTCTTCTGTACAACGGATCCTGTCCACTCAGCTCTTAATATGACACTTTTCATGAATGGTTAACTCTCTTCCTGCGATAGTTCTTTTTCACTTCATTTTATGGAGTTATTCAGTACGTTCTCTATCTATAAGATTGAGTGTTTAAAAATAATTAAAATAATAAATAATATATTAATCAAATTCTAATTTTTAAAATTGTACATATCACTTGTTCAAAACTCAGCTCTTATATGACACTTTTCATGAATGGTTAACTCTCTTCCTGCAGTAGTTCTTTTTCATTTCACTTTATGGAGTTATTCAGTACGTTTTCTATCTTATGATTGAGTGTTCAAACATTATTAAAATAATAAATAATATGTTAATTAAATTCTAATTTTTAAAATGGTGCCTATCGATTGTTGTTGGATGCTGGGAATAAATTTATTTCAACAACGCCAAAATTCTTTCTACTTCGGTCACATCGGCTCATTTTGATGCTCTTGAGTCTTTTTACATTCATATCTTATTTTATATTTTATTTTATAATCGTCGTTGAACAGCCGACCCTATTTTGGGGGTTTACGACTACTAATGTTCAACTCCGTAGTCTTGTAATTTTGAACCCAATCCAGAAGAACTCCTGGGTCAAGTATTGGGAGAAATTTTGTCTTCGTAGAGGATTGTTTGATGGAACTGACCTGCATTTGCTTTACATTGAGAGGAAGATCGTGAGAACCTCCCACGGTTAGCCTGACGGCAAGGGGACTCTAACCCATGATCCGTCTGCCAATGAGGATATTTTACGTCAGCACTGTAGTCGGTGCAAGCCGGATGCGGAATTCATATCGACCAGAAATAACTAGAATTCGAACTATCATTGGAAGGCGTACATTCTTATCAGATATTCTGCAGTAAATCATCTCAGCTTTGCTGTATTCCTACATTACGTCAATGAAAATGTATACTGCCCTAACTTGCCTCCATCGCCTTCCAACGTTACTTCGGTATACAACTCGAACCACCTTAAAATAAACTATCAATGGTTCTCCAAACCAGCAATCGATGAAAAAGGGATGTTGTTTTGATTTCTATTTCGCGTTTTTGTCACAAAATAGCACATTTCATCATAATGGTGAAAACATTTTCTCTGTCGTAATTTTTTTATTTATATATTTACTTTATTAACTTTTTTTAAAAAGAAATGGATGTATAGATACATTATTGATTTTTTTTTAATTTATACCAATGCAACGTATAAATTTTAAAGTTAATTTTGCCTTCGCCCCCCCCCCATTATTACTCCGGTATACGACTCAGGTACCACCTGAAAATAAACTATTAATGGTTAAATTAGTTAGTATGGTTTATTTAACTATCAGTGGTTCTCCGAACCAGCAATCAATGCAGAGGAATTGCATGCTACCTTGATTTTCTGTTTCGTGTATTTCTCACAAAATAGCACATTTCCTCATAATTGGGTAAGCATTCTCTACGTCTTAATTTTTTGTTGATATTCACTTTATTAACTTTATTCTTAAATAAAATGGCTAAATGGACCCATTGCTAAATTTTCTAAATTTTTATCAATGCAACTTATAGATTTTTTTTTTTTAAATTCATATCTTTAAATATCCATACAGCTTTTGATTTAATCTATCAAAACCAAAAGTTAAATTCTTCTGAAAAAGGAAAAAAAACTTCCCAGAAATCGTTAATTAATGAAGCAAGCTATTTTGCAATTGATCTCGTAATTCTCTCTTAATACCATTAACCAAAAAGCCTTGGACTAAATTTTTACATTCTTTAACCATTCCCTAACCATGAACTCCACGTTAAGATTAACATGTTCAGAATATAAGAGGCATTTAAGAAAAGGGGGTAGAAGAAAATACGAGCAAAAAGCATCATAATCATTAAGGTGAAAAACAAAGCTACATAGGTTGTTCACCTGGCTTGAGCATTTTACCACAGATACATGACCCTCCTCTGCGAAATATTTCTTTTTACGAACGACTAAGAGAATCCCAGTTTCGCAACGAGACTGATGTTCCATCGTATTTGACCTTAATGACTGCCTCTCATCTCTTTTTCAACAATCACACACACATCACACCGATAGCACAAGATTGTAACAAAACCACCTTTAAATGGGTCTCTGCACATTCCCATAGGAGAATGCGTGAACAACGCTCCTAATAGAGCACTTTGCTCAATATAGAGTTTCGTATTGGGGTAAAATTTTTTCTGTTAGCGCGCGTGATGATGTATAGTTTTTTTACGGTACAATTCTTTCGTTTTCTCAGTGTTTACTGAGTATTCCAAAAATAATAGCGTTTGAAATCGTGTTGCTATAAAATAACTGGATCAGTTAAACGAAAAAACAAAAAATCAAATAATACAAATTTTTACATAATCACGCGAAATAAATTTAATGAAATTAAAAAGAAAGCATTGAAGTTTAGGAAATATGTAAATCAAAAAAAAATATTAAAACTATTTATTTTTATTTTATTAAAATATTCCTTTTTAAATTTTAAAATAACTGGATCTGTTAAAAAAAAAAAATCAAATAATACAAATTTTCACATAACCGCGCGAGATCAATTTTATGAAATTAAAAAGAAAGCATTGAAGTTTAGGAAATATGTAAATGAAAAAAAATTTGAAACTATTTATTTTTATTTTATTAAAATATTCCTTTTTAAATTTTGATTAAATTTAATGTAAAAAAAATTCAAAATCTTTTCAATATCATTAAAACCTCTTTTGCTTGGCATTGAAAACTAGTTTCTTCCTTATTAAATTTTACGGATGTGTTTTTTCCGACATTGACAGATTGTATCGATTAGAATAACGATTTTTAGTTTTCTATGGTATCAACTTGTTTGGCTGCTGAATGTGATGCTATAGTTACATATATCTTATATAGGCAAGGATACGTACACTAAGTTTTTTTTTATCGGAAAAAAAATTCCTTGTAAGTTATGAAAATAATTACATTAAAAAATATTACGTTGAATAAAAGAGACTACAATTGTTTTGTTTTTTTTTTTTTTCTGACAAGGAAAAGAGGGCAAAATCACCCTCAGTTTACATGTTTTAAGCTCGTAGGAAAAATTCTAATTTTAAACTGCATGCATTGTCTTGCTTAAAAAATACTGTGTCTAGAAACCATGAACTGAACCAATAGCTTCAATTTTTATAAAATTATAAAAATTTTCTTTGAAAAAATCCCCAATTTCGTGAGATATTTCCACCTAATTAAAAGCGAAAATCAGAGAAATTCATAATTTTTTGCATATTTTTAGATGATGCAGCGTTATTTTTCAAACAGAAAATCAGATCACAAAACGCTTTTCATTTCCACAAATCTGTTGAATTATCTTCATGTTAAACAACTTAGTTCAATTTTTATTGTTAGCATTGAAGGCTTTGATTATAGATTTAAGATGGTCAAACCCTAATCTAACAGTCATTAGAAACTGTTATAAAATCAAGGAAGTTTTTTTAAAAAAAAGCATATTATTTGCTTAAGTGTTGTTTCATTTGAAACCATGGAAAAAAAAAGTTGAATAATATTCGAACACCTCCCTGGGAAATTTCAAGGACTCGCGCGAGTGGTAAATTTTAACTCAATTTTAAAAAATTGAGTTAACATGCAAATAGGTGAAATGACATTTAAAAATATTCTATAAACTATATGAAATTATCTAAGGAAATATAAAAACTCTCTTCTGAAATTATTGTGCAGTCCTTTTTTT